CCCCCCCCTCCAAAACAATACAAGGATTCAGCCCATTAAAACTATCTCGCTGATTGTTGGTTTTAATGAGCTAATTATGAACCAACCCAGACTGCCAGCACAATCCTCTGTAGTCTTACAGTGCCCCCTGCTGGATGGATGTGATGCACATCTGTTCCGGTGAATCAGCGCATCTTTAGGTTTTTAACCCAGCTCAGCTCCCTAAACTAAATTGGCTAAAACACTAAACTGGCTAGTTACTCTTTGCTCATAACAAATTAATGACTTATTAATTGGCCTCACTAGCCCCAGTTTCCCAAATTTTACTACTCTTCAGGTGCTGCTGCTTTCACTAGACCTAGAAAACTTGCAGACACACCAGACCTCCAGCAAACGTACAGCATGCCTTGCCCTAACCTGCTCTCTGCTGTCCTTCACAGGTACCTGAAGCCTGACGAGAACAAGAAATCAAAGCACAAGACTGCGGTCAAGAAGAAGACTCTCAACCCAGAGTTTAACGAGGTACCACCTTTCTCTGCCATCCTTTTTGTCTGTTTCCCTCTCTCTTACTCTCTTACTTTGTGGCTTAATAGGTTTCAATACACTCATTAATTGGGAGAGACAGATACAGATGAGTGGGGCTGTGCAGGAAACCCAGCTGTCCACAGTCTAAAGACAAAGTGTGTTTGTTGACAGAATCGAAATCCAAGAATAATCTATTAGCCCAGTTTCGTCCCTGTGTGGCCCGGCGGAGCTCTGAACTAGACAGGGCTCTCCAGTAGCCCAGTTCGGTCCCTGTGTGGCCCAGCGGTGCTCTGAACTAGACAGGGCTCTCCTGTGGCCCAGTTCGGTCCCTGTGTAGCCCAGCGGTGCTCTGAACTGGACAGGGCTCTCCAGTAGCCCAGTTCGGTCCCTGTGTGGCCTGGCGGAGCTCTATGATTGAGAGAGATTTGAGTTGCACTTATTACCTGTTTTCTGAGATGTTCCCTGATGTGGTGGCAGGCATTATCTTTGTAACTCACTTTTCTCGAAAATATAAATAACGTGCACATGCTAAAAGCTTATTTTTCTCCCCTTTTAAAACTCATTTTTTTTATTTAGAAAGAGGTTAAAAGGTTTCTGCAGCTGTCTCTCCAACATTTCATTTCTCCTCCAGCCCTGTGCCGCTCCCTGCATGAGGGAACTGTAGAAGTGTGACTAATGAAGTAGCAAACGACTTTTCAGCAGCCAGCGGTAGACATTATTATCGGCGAGACTGGACCTTAACAAAATCTCTCCTCCTGTGTTTTATCTATTCTTCTCTAAAGCCTTAAGTGAGACAAGGCAAAGTGTTTAGAGCTTTTATGCCACACTAGAAATACAGAATCCCTGGGGATCCCTATGGGTAGTGCTGGGAGCTGTTAGATATGTTTAAGAATAAAATAAAAATCATGTTAATAAAATATATATGAAGACACTGCAGCTTTAGTTAAAGTGAGAAGGAATACCATTTGTAAGGCAAGAGAGATAGACCATATCAGAATTACCCAGGATGCACGATTGAGATCCGGATCTGGATTCATGTCATTTATTATCATTATCTAACAGAGGGTTGATCTTGACTGACTAAACTAAATGATGCAAGTAGAGGACAGGTCAAGCCCTGTATACCAGACATCACTGGTTCAAATAAGACCAGAAGAAAAGCTTCTTAGCAAGAGAAGCCCATCTTGTTCATTCCCTTGGAAATAGCTTGTTCCTCTAAGAATGTGTAAGGGTGGTGGGAGTGTGGGACAAGCTCCCCAGCTATGTTATTGAAGCCAATACTCTGATTCCTTCATGCAAAGGCTGGATGAGATTCTGGGATCGATCACCTACTCACTAGCATATAGTCTGAATGGGCCGAATGACCTCCTCTCAGTTGTAACCTTTCAAATGTTCTTATATTTATATATTTATATATCTCCATCATTGATTTATGTTTCCTTTGACTGTGGAAATCACAGAAAACGAAGGAAAAATAAATTCTGAGAAGCCTACAGGTTCTGTAAGGGAGTGTCTTAAATAGCTCATAGCTGTTCATTTTATGTTGAAGGAATTCTTCTATGATATCAAGCATGCTGACCTCACCAAGAAGACACTGGAGGTGACTGTATGGGATTATGACATTGGAAAGTCCAATGACTTCATAGGTGAGTCCTCCTGTCTTGTTAAACACCACACTGTGAAGTGACAGAACCTGTCTCTCCAAACCCCTGACTGACTGACTGATCTTTCATTTGGATGTCAAAGGTTTATGTCATCTGCAGTGCTGCCCATTCTGTTATTTCTACTAAGTATAACTCTTTATTGCAGTCTCTGATTTTACTGTAAAAAAATAGTCAGGACCGGTGGATGTTCCATTACTTTAGGCCATAATAATAATAATTGCTTACACTTATATAGCGCTTTTCTGGACACTCCACTCAAAGCGCTTTACAGGTAATGGGGACTCCCCTCCACCACCACCAATGTGCAGCATCCACCTGGATGATGCAACGGCAGCCATAGTGCGCCAGAACGCTCACCACACATTAGTGGGGAGGAGAGCAGAAAGTGATGAAGCCAATTCATAGATGGGGATTATTAGGAGGCCATGATTGGTTAAGGCCAATGGGAAATTTGGCCAGGACACCGGGGTTACACCCCTACTCTTTTCGAGAAACGCCCTGGGATTTTTAATGACCACAGAGAGTCAGGACCTCGGTTTTTTTTACGTCTCATCCGAAGGACGGCACCTGTTTACAGTATAGTGTCCCCATCACTATACTGGGGCATTAGGACCCACGTGGACCACAGGGTGAGCGCCCCCTGCTGGCCCCACTAACACCTCTTCCAGCAGCAACCTTAGTTTTTCCCAGGAGGTCTCCCATCCAGGTACTGACCAGGCTCACACCTGCTTAGCTTCTGTGGGTTGCCAGTTGTGAGCTGCATGGCTGCTGGCTCTTCAAAAAGAATCAAAAAGATTCTTTTTGAAGTTATCATTGGTCTGCTCACCCAGGTTGGCATGGCCAGTTGTATGTTTTTTCTTGTCTTGGCTCGGAGCCACGAACCACATGACCACAGACAGGGGAGGATGAAGCTGTGCGAACGGACTCCTCAGACCCGCCCACCTCTTAGTCAGAGGCAGCCCGCCCCGTGCAGCAGGGTCAGTGCTGATTGGACGAGAGGCGTGTCTGTCACTGACAGCACCACATGTCCGCAAGCCCACAACGGGGACAACTGGGCTCCATCACTTGAGGAATCATAGTCACAGGCGGCTCTTGACATGGTCCATGCTCAAACCCCAAGCCATACACTTGAATATGAGTGACGAGATGTACCCTGTCTAATACTGAGATTAGGCCTTACAGTAGATTTAATACCTCATTCAGCTCTAGTGGTTTCCTTTCTATACAGTGTCTGTCTGATTCCATAGACACCAGGTCTTTGATATGGTTTCTGTATACAATACCCTGCGATCTCTCTGGGAATCCTTAGGGAGCACTTTCGGATGTCAGGACTCTGGCCATTTCCAGGCTGCTGATAATCCAATCCCAGTCCGCAGCCTGTGGTAGCAGTGACCCCTGCAAACAGGTGGAAAGGACAATTCACTGTGTTTCCTTTGACAATGAAATCCATTACCAGCCCTTTCACTAACGACACCTGATGTTTGCCCTCTGCGAAGGTCTGCAGATGGTACACTGTCTCACCTGGTGCCAAGCTGTCAGGACAGAGTAAACTTGATTAAAAAACCTAAAACAGCTTATCAGAGGGATTTGATTCGGTAGAGCTACTACATTTTGAGCTTAGTGACTTTAACCCATTCCATCCTGAAAATGACAGAAAAAAATGGAGCAGTTTTATTTTCTAACTAGCGACTGTTTCTTTTTTTTCTGTTCAGTCTCCTTGGATTCAGAATTCATTACATGTGGCTCAGGCTTGAAGGAGGTCCAACTATCCTCGTTCCCATAACTAATGTGAACAGAATGAGCTACGTGCTGTTCCAAACCATCCTGTTTTCAAAAGGGATTGGAGTGTCTTTTCAGTGTTGTGCTTTAACCCTTTTGGTTTACTATAAACATCTCCAAAAATCCAAAACATTGCTGCAAAGTCCAAAAACATTTTCCCTTTCCTGAAACTGATCATCAGTTTGCAAATAACTGGTACATTGAGCACAATCATAGTGCACACTGAGCACAAACAAATAACCTGAAGACCATGAGCTCAGACTTCAGATAGATCCCACTTCTGCTAAGCCCTTGATCAAGATACTTTCTGGAAAATTGCTATTAACTGTATAATGTAGAACCTAATTTTAGAAGCAAAGATGGGTAATTATAATCTTTTAAAGCTGCTTTGAAAACATATGCCTGAAAAATAAAATCATAATTTCTTTTTTAAGCCATGGTAATAACCCGCCTTGTTCTGAATAACTATGCCTCAACCCTCATTGTTTCTGCAGGCGGAGTGTCTCTGGGAATCAATGCCAACGGCGAGAGACTGAAGCACTGGTTCGACTGCCTCAAAAACAAGGACAAGAAAATTGAGCGCTGGCACACACTGACCAATGAACTACCCGGCTCGATGTTCAGCGACTGAGGCCCCGCCCACAGCAGGAAGCCCCCCCACTCGCCAGGGGGCGTGGTCAGTTCTGGCTGCCTCCAGCGCCCCTGCAGTTTGCTGGCTGCTCCTTGCTTCAGCTGTGTTCTCCCTCCAGGCCCCCTGGTACCCAGCCATCCTCCTCCTTATTTCTAATACCATGAGATCATGTAGCCGGACCCTTCTGATTGCCAGTCACCCTATCAGTCCTGGCACCAGTGTCACACGTGGCCCGTTTTGTAAAGAAACCTTCGTCTCTTTCAGGGAAAAACCACAAGCTGCCACACATGGATGGAAAGAAGTAATCTGTTGTGCCTGTCGTTAGAATTAATTAGGAACCCAGGTTATAATACAGTGCAGGTATTTTCCAAAGAAAGTTCTTTTTTGATTAAATAAAGACAAAAAATTTAGGATCAATGCTTCTTGCCCAAATCCAAAGCCACTTTTTAATGTACTATATACGTCCACTCAAGAACCTAGCATTGTCACTCAGATAAAATAACAGGATTCCTAAATGTAGTCTAAATAAAGTGTTTTTTCATTGTTGCTAAAGTCCAGCACGATGCATGAGCATGAAGCAAGCTAAGCTCATAAAGCCCTCTGTTTTATTAGTTACCCAGTTACAGGCACAGAAAAACGCTTCATTTCGGGTCCTATAGGCACCAATGCAGTTGCCTGAAGTGATTCAGTCCTCTACAGAGGTTATGATACATGGTTTTGAGTGCAGAGTCATGATTAAGCCTTGGTTCACATGGGATTCACACCCCAGTTTTAGTTGTTTCATTCATGCACAAGCACTGTAAATCTCTCTTTGCAAGTATCTTCCTCTCATGTTCAGGGTCTGTGACACTGTACTCACTCTCAGCAAGGAGCTCAGTCTGTAACTATAGTTAATTCAGAAACCCGGCATAGAAAGGGCAGTGACCTCTGTGGATTAAAATATATTGTCTTAAAGCACCTTAAACATTAACTGCAGTGTCACTGACATTACATTTCCATTTACGATCCTTTGAATCATTTTCCTGTATAACCACAATTTACTGATTTTCCTAAATGTGGCAATCAACATACTAAACTTGACGCACTCAACCACAGGAATAATGTTAAATAACTAGTAAGGATTTTACTACTTAATCAATGTTTGAGTTGTTCTCAATGGTATGAAAATAATGGACTATTTACAAAGTATACATCAATAACAAAGATATCGATACAGTAGCTTTAATGGACTGTTTGCTCTTAAATAAGTAAAATGGATTAAGCATTTTAAAAACTATAGCAAATATACAGTACACTTAAACACTGCAAGCGATTGTAATGTATTGTCTAGGAGCAGAAATAACATAATAACCCAAAAATAGCTAAAGAGAAAAACAAATATATATGTAAGAACGTTCTGAAACACTTGGTGAATTCCACAGTGCTTTGTATTGTCAACAAGGTAAGGTCTGGAGTCTCAGGTGGTTGAGGGATTTATTACTAAAACATTTATTGCTTCACTTTTTTTATCATGATGAAGTGTTGAATGTGAAGCCAGGCATCTTGAGCTGATGGCCAGTTGGGCTCTGGCCTGTGATATTTGTCCATGGACAGAGGGTGTACCAGCATAGGGCTATAGTGGGGTTTGGCCAAGAAGCTTCTCAGTCAGCCTGACTGGGCAGTGTGAACTCCTTCTCTTTTGGAGTTGTAGTGGAAAGAGAAGAATCTGACCAGATAACGTGTACTGGAGGGCACGTGTGAGCACGCCTTCCTGTCTCTTCACAAGGTGCAGACACACAGAATGTCAGGAAGGCCACAAAAAAGACACTGGGTCACAAAGGGTCATCTGTCTCATCAGGGTTCTGTTGTTCTGTAGTTCTGTAATCCCACTGTGCTCTCCATTCCACAAACAGACACAGGACAGCTATTCAAACCCAACCAGCAAGTGTTTGAAAATCGCAGAGACAAATCTCTGTGGACCTGGGGAGGACATGCAAACTTGAATCAAACCTGGGATCCTAATAAAGGTAGTGCCCTAATGCCCTCAGTCTGTTGGTCTGAGTAGCAGTTCTAAACTGGGGTGTATTAAAGCAGCTGATTCTGAATGTTCTTTTTAATATTGAGCTACATATATGTGTTAAATTATAAAACACAGGTAAACTGCAGGCCTTAATTTCACCACTTTTAAAAGCTCACTGCCCTGCTGTGGGTCTTACAGTCTTACTGGAAAAGATCATAAAACAAGGTAGAGTTCAATGATTTCTTTAAAATGTTGCTGTTTTTGTTCTGTATCGTTGTTCTTCGTGTTTCACTCCCAGTGAGTTCATTTCCACCTCCACCTCATTTCCAAACATGAAGGGGTGCAGCAAAATCCGCTTTTATTGTACATTGGTCAGATATAGCACGTGTGCACTCAGCATTTGACACATCCTTGACACAAACATCATCACAGCACAGTCAAACAAAGGCAAGCAAACTAAAAAAGAACAGAGTGTCTCAATCAAGTCAGAGAAAGCAGGAAGAGTCATGTCCCCACTATTCCTCATCATCCCAAGGCACTGAAAGTCAGTTTAGCCTTCTGAACTCATAGCTTTGCCTCAGTAAAGTTTTACTCAAAGACTGAAGCCTGTTTTTAGTTTGTTGCAGTGCTGTTGCTCTGCAAACTCTTTTTACAGTCAGGAGCCCCAGGAAGATCGCCTCTCTCTCTCAGGCGGAACGAGCTGCGCTGATCTGGGTTGGATGGGCTGGGTCTGGGAGTCTGGGCCGAGTGTGAGGTTAAAGTACAGTGAAGTGTGACAGACGTCCCTGTTTATTTGTCATGTCGTCGCCCTCTCCTGCCCGTGAAGGGAGCTGTGGACTTCTCTGATGATTGACACTCCCGCACCAAGAGCGGAGAGACTGTCACAGTTACTGGATCATGAGGCGGTGTTTGCACTCCTTTGCCACGTTTTGAAAACCACTGTTTGTCAGCTCCAGTTCAGGGCAGTCTGGGGGGAGGGTTTGGTCCATCACAAAGCATGCTGTTCCCTCAGCACCTTTCTGCTCATAATTCTCACCCAAAATGAATAATTCTCAAATCTGGACATGGAGATCCTTGTCCCTTAGCTGACATACTTTGTTATAGATTATTATTTTATTTACCAAATAAATTTAATTAAAAGAAGAAAATGCTTGAAATTTTCTGGGTCTCTTGGGCTCAAGGCCCAAAGCCAGCTGTGCCAATTGGTCCTGTGGCCTGTGCTATGAACCAGACAGGTGTTCAGTCCAACCAGCAGCTCACTGTTCACTCAGGAGCCCTGAAACATCTGTCACATGTTGGGGCTCCCGAGTGGCTGAACACGTAGAGAGCTGATTGAGTTCTTCAAGCTGGATGCCATGTGTTTGAGCCATGGCACTATGCCACTGTGACCTGGACTTTCCAGGTGACAGCACATTATTGGCAAAACAATTTCATGACCAGGCATTCTGAAAAACAGTCAATCCTGCGAGTTTCTGGGAGGCTGCAGGCTTGCATTGACATCGGTGTTGGACTGCTTCTCCTCCGGTCACCCCCAGATCTCCTTAGAGGGCTAGCTCCTAAAAACTGTCAACGTGTCCGATGACGAATGGCCCTGCAGGTGGGCGTGTCCAAGGAGCACATCCCAAGTGTCTCCTCCGGTCCTGTGTGGGTACAGATGTCTTAAAACACTTGGCAAACCTAGAGCGAACACCAAATCTGCACTGGTTCCCACTCCCTCTGCTTGCAGCAGTAAGGCAGGCTGTGGCTGAATCAAAGCAGGAGATGTTGGAGGAACTGCCCGGCCTGGAGCTGGAAAACCGTCCCCTTGCCCAGCCACGGAACTGCAGGAGGTGCTTCAGTCAGACCAGCTAGCCAAGCCAAGGTCATGCCCTCTGCCAATATTGTGAAATTCTTTTGGAATCTGTTTGCCTTTGTACTCGACTTCTATATTCCGAAAATGCATGCAGATGTATCGGTTTGTCATGCAATGAAACTTTGCTAAATGTTTGATACTGCTGTTTTTTTTCTGTGAAAAAACAAAAATCTTATTCTGGACGCAACGGGAATGTCAGTCTTTTCTTCACAGACGAACCTTTTGTACCTCTGAACGCTATCGCATTGCCTGTCAGGCTGTCGTATTGACTGGAGATGTGACTGCATGTGAAAACTAATGAAAACAAAAACACAAAACACTGTCTGTGTCTTCTTTATTTTACTGCGCAGGCCGTGATATATCAACACGGGGGTTCTAAAAAGAAGAAAGGGACACGGATCCTTTCATGTAATGATATTAACGAGAAACCTTATTTTCTGTTAAAATCACACTGGTACAGTGGAAATAGACATCACGTTTTCTGTTCTCCAAGTAATACTCTGGTCACTGGCTAGGTTTGTCCGAAGGTAACACTGCCACTTACTGTTCAACAAGGGAACTTCAGTCATTGTCCTGGAGAGCCCTAACCTTGTATGTCAGGGGTCTCAAATTACTTTGTTGGAGGGCCTGATGTCTTCATATTTGAATCCTAGCACGAAATGTCAGTTAAATAATTAACCAAATATTTTTCTTAGATATCCATCCATCTGTTTTTAAACAGCTTCTTCCAATTCAGGGTCACCAGGAAGCTGAAACTTATCCCGGCGAGCAACGGGCGCAAAGCTGCAGACACCCTCACTAGCCAAATTGATCACACTTCCATTGTTTCAAAAAATGCTAATTAATCGTTACTCTCGTAACAGCTGAACCAGCATGAGATACTAAGAATTACAATAGTGGGTAAATTAATTAGAACACTCCCCATTCGCTTCAGCAGTTGTGATTTGGTGGGGAAGTGAGATGAAACCACTTCAAGTGAATGTTCTGGAAGGCCGTCAGAATAGGCAGACAAATGGCTAGTTTGACCAAAAACCTTAACATGTCACTGTGAGGTGGTGAGATCTAGCGTTTGTTAATTAGAAAAACCTGCGGGATGAGGCACAGCTGGGCTGATTGAGGAATTAGCTCTGTCTGATCAAAAAGGAGCTGTCAGGAGGGGCTCTGAGTGAAACCAACCTCTCCTCTGGGCTCATTCAGAAGCCTAGAAGATCAGCTGAGGGGAGGAGGGAGAGCAGAGGCTCGGGCTTGGGCTCGGGCTCGGGCTTGGGCTCGGGCTCCTCGACAGCAGGCCTGAGAGACTCGGAGCTGGGGATACCTGAGAAAGCACACCGTGGGCTGCCCTGGAGGCTGTGAGGCAGTTTGCCAATGGGGCTGGTGTGCTGCTAGGCAAGGCGATGGGGTCCCTGCTCCTCCACAGTGGAGAGAGGGGCTGAGCCTGTGTCCTACTCCCAGACACTTAACATCAGCGGACAGACTGGTGGTGGGATTGGAGAGGAAAGACCAAGCAGGCTGAGGTATTTAACTGTCCATTATTCTGTTCCATCTGGAAAAACCTGACGAGGTTCATGCTGTAAAAATTCTATATTCAATGGTTCTCATACAGTTTTGACAGTCTAATCAATTTGTTTTATTAGTTTAAAACAAATCTTATCAGCAATTTATTTTGCATACTACCATAACTTTTGAAGGTGTTTTGGTCAATATTGACCTATTCTTTGTGGAGCTGCAAAGATAAATTCCTCCTGATTAGATTACTCTTACTCTGCCTGCATACTGCAGTATTACTTTGGGCCTGTTTTAATGGAGCTGTTTAAGAAGCTCAGCCTTTTTTGCCTTAACTAGGTTTTGCTGGGGCTTAGTGCAAGAGGTGGTCTGCTTTTAATCTCCCTGATTAATGCTCTTCAGAGCTGATTAGAACCACTGGCTCTGCCCTTTAGCCCAGAGCCTTTGAACTTGTCCCTTGACAGTTACTTAGCCTGATAAACCTCCAAATAGCAAGACAGATTTGCATCAATGCTAAAGTGATTGGGGTTTATTGCAACAGTGCATATTGTATGTCTATATATTGGCTCTGTATTAATTACAGCCATCAATACTTATTCCCCTGTTCACAGGGCATATTGCACACAAACACATTTGGCTTATTAGCCCCATTTAAAGTACTTTCAAATGTTAAATTCCCTTCATAATGTATGTTGAAGTGATTAATTTGGTGGCCAAATTTTTACAAAAATAGACCCCGTCTCAATAATACTAAATAATATATTTACAAAAAAATAAACCCAAATGGTAAGTAGATAGAAAGGTAGATGCATGCAGAAATGAAATAAATATAATATAATGTAATGTTTAAGAGCTACGAAAGCTTGTTAATAATGGAGTTCATTCACAGTTACAGTACAACAACCATGAATAGAGACCATAACTGATCACATTTTCCCTGAATCTACATTTGCACCTGCAACTGTTCACAACCTTGACCTCATCCCCATGTCTGTCCTGCACGCATCACTCAGCCATGCAATGCCAAAGCTTTTAGGGGGATTCTGTGCCCAACGTATGAAGGGAAATATAAGCGCTTTAGAATTAATGCCCTCTAAACTCCTGCTTATTCCAGATCATGCGAGATTGTACTCACACCTGGTTTAGCCTCAGACCCACCCTCCGAAAGGTTTCCACCCATGTGCGCAGGGAGTAGTGAGGTTCCAGGGCACTAATTCCTCCTCCCTATATAAAGGGACCCCATGCCACGCTTGAGAAAGATTGATCGGCATCCCTCATTCTGCCTCTCCCTCCTGCACTCTCTCTGCATCTCACGATGCCCATCCTGGTGAACTCCAGCACGGCCGCTTTCCCTCTTGAGAAGAACAGCACGCCGGGGCCCTTCGATGGGCCCCAGTGGCCTCACCAGGCCCCCCGCAGCACCTACCTCATGGTGGCCGTGCTGATGGGCACGGTTGTGGTGCTGGCCTCCTTCGTCAACGGCCTCGTCATCCTGGTCTCCCTGCGCTACAAGAAGCTGCGCTCCCCTCTCAACTACATCCTGGTCAACTTGGCGGTGGCCGACCTCCTGGTGACCCTCTTTGGGAGCACGGTCAGCTTTTCTAACAACGTCAACGGCTATTTCATCCTGGGCAAGTCTGTGTGCGAGTTCGAAGGCTTCATGGTCTCTCTCACAGGTAGGACTGATTCCCTCCATGACCAGTCATTCCACCTCAACCCAGGGCTGCTGTGGGAGAGAATTGTGAACAAGATTATCTGATACAATATTCAGGACTGGGGCCCTGGGTTCAATTCTCTGGGGTGCTGTCTGTGTGGAGTTTGTATGTTCACATGGGTTTCCTCTGGGTGCTCTGGTTTCCTCTCGCAGTCTGAAGATATGCTGGAGGGTTAACTGGCTTCTAGGAGAACTGGCCTTGGTGTGAGTTTGAGTGATGGCCTGGCACACCATGCAGGGTGTAGCCTGCCTTGTGCCCACTGCTTACCAGGATGGGCTTCGACTCCCCTGTGACCGAGTATTGGATACAGCAGGTAGTAAATGCATGCATGGATGGAGTATTCTGAACCTCTTTAATTTGCCGAAATGTTCGTGGTCTAATACGGAAGAATGCATCAAAGACAATTGCTTCTGCCAGTACTTACAAGTCCATCTTGAGCAGACTCAAACAGCCAAGTCAGAGTATTATTTTTAGCTTTATTCCAAAAGCGTCAAGCACCGTGTTGTTACTGAATGCTTTTTGTTCTAGAGAACAGGCTTTACATGAGTCTGAAAATTGTCAATTTTTCAGTGCTTTCCAGCACCGAATTTTGAAACTTTGTTGTTTGAGTTTTAAGAAGATGCAGCAGCAATAGTCTCTAATTTCCTCTATGTTAGGAATTGTAAAGAAACTATAACACTAACAACAGATGACTCGGAGGTGTGAATTAAACAGAATGTACTCGCAAACACATCTTTGCTCACTTCCAACTATACAAGCGCGAGAAAACATCTGTCTCGAAAAGAGAGATGGTTACATTTATTTTTGGAAATATAGCATAAGGAAATTTTTCTATAATCCAAAGGCTTAAAATGTTGTGGTTCATTTGGCAACAGACTCTATTTGAAAATAGAGTCTGTCCAAATACTGTAACGGGAGCCGGTGCAGAGCCTCGTGTAGTGCGGATTTAGGACCCTATGCTGACAGTAAAAACCGGAAGAGACTGGAGAAGGGCAACTGGGAAACACGACGGGATGACTGACAGGGGGGCGTGGCACCGGCGAGCAAGTCCAAAACAATCTGGAAGGGGAAACCTGGAAGCAGTCCAAAAGTCCATAGCCGGGAGATCCATCCAAACCAAGTCAGGAACGGGAACGAGGAATCAGGAACTAGAAAGTTAAAATCATAACGGAGCCGGGCGCTCCAAGCCCCGGACTCAGATGGTCAGGACGCCGGGCTGCCCACGAGCCTTGTGGCGTTCATCTTCCACTGCTGAGCACAGAGGCACAGGGTTTAAATAATACACACAGAACAAGGGACAGGTGTACGTAATGAAACTAAAATACAAAAAAGGGGTCGAGTGCCCTCTAGAGGAGGGATGACGATCGTGACAAAAACATTCATCCATCTATACAGATGCATGGAAAATGACTCCAGACTCTTTTTATCATTTCAGGGATTGTAGGACTCTGGTCCCTGGCGATCCTAGCATTTGAACGCTACATTGTCATCTGTAAGCCAATGGGAGACTTCCGCTTCCAACAGAGGCACGCTGTAATTGGCTGTGGGTTCACATGGGTGTGGTCTCTGATTTGGACAGCACCTCCCCTTTTTGGATGGAGCAGCTATGTCCCAGAAGGTATGTACAGAAGTATGAGCATACAGTAAGTACTCACCATGGAGTGCAGCACTAGGTATTGGGGTGTTGATCACTAGAAAGCAATTTGCCTGTTGGAATACAGAGAGCGAGATCCCTTGCAGTGCTGGTTAGAATGCCACTAGTTTTTATTATGTCTGTAGCATGGCAAGAGGAAGAGGTCTCAGTGGTTCTAACCCTGTTACAGAAGGTGACATCACTCCCTTGAAACCTAAGCAGTGCAGGATTCTCCTGCAGAACCTGTGGTCTTTGGGCACACCATAGTTTGCTATTGTGCAAGGAGTGGCACTGTCTGTTCTGGGCCTGTCATTGACCATGAATCGCAAATCGCAGCAGGGGCAGAACCCCTCTCTCTGTTAGGGAATACCAAGTGTATAACCACAACAGAAAAAATCTGTCTGGTCTCTCTGCAGGGCTTCGGACGTCTTGCGGGCCAAACTGGTACACTGGCGGTTCCAACAACAACTCCTACATCATGATGCTGTTCATCACCTGTTTCATTATGCCTCTAAGCATGATCCTCTTCTCCTACGCCACCCTGCTGATCACCCTCCGAGCTGTGAGTACTGAGCCCTACACCATCGCTCGCTCACAATCGGAGCTGTGAGAACTGGGCCCTACACCAGGGCTCGCTCACAATTGGAGCTGTGAGTACTCACCCTTTCCTCCCACTGACCTCTACACCAGTGCTCAATTACACTCGGAGCCATGCAAGTCAGAAAGAGCTGCAGTAATACTCTAGTCGTGTAGAACTGAAAACATTAGTTACTTTTAAAATCTGCAGGCCTGCAGCTCTCCAGGCGCACGAGTAAAGCTACTGCAATCCCAGTCCTTCTCACTCCTGCCATCCTCTGTTCCGTGAACAGGTGGCAGCACAACAAAAGGAGTCGGAGACCACCCAGCGGGCCGAGCGGGAGGTGACCCGCATGGTGATCGCCATGGTGATGGCCTTCCTCGTCTGCTGGTTGCCATATGCCACCTTTGCCATGGTCGTGGCCATCGACAAGAACATCGTGATCCAGCCCACGCTGGCGTCCATGCCCTCCTACTTCTCCAAAACCGCCACCGTCTACAACCCCGTCATCTACGTCTTCATGAATAAGCAGGTATGGGGCTGTGCCAGGCCTGTCACTGTCACCAGTGAGGATGCATTTTGGAGGAAAGCTTGAAAAGTTCTCATTCCCCATTTACTAGTACAAAGGACACATAAGTTAAGATTGTTGATAGCTGGTAATTCCTAATTATGAGGGTATAAAACAAAGGGCAGTGGCGAATACACCTAAGGATGGACCCCACACACACATTCACATCAGGGCCAGTTTTCCAAGAAGCCAATTAACATGCCAGTATGTAAGCAATGCCAACAAAGGGAGCAAATGCAAACTCCGTGCAGATAGCGCCCCAGGTCCTCCGTGCTGAGAGACCGCAATGTTAACCGCTGTGCATGCGTGCTGCCCAGTACCATCTATATGCATTTATAATACTTAAACACCATGGTTTTTCCTACGTCTAACACTGCTCCTTGCCCTCCTTCATCAGTTTCGAAACTGCATGCTGACGATGATGTGCTGTGGACGCAACCCTTTCGCCACTGAAGAGGACAGCTCAGTCACAGGCACCAGTACGGCTGGCAAGACCGAGATCTCCTCTGTCTCTTCAGGAGGGAGCAGCAAGGTCACCCCTGCTTAACATCCAGAAACTAACCACAACCCCTTTCAAAGGACAGAAGTCGGAGTGTGCCGCAGAGCTTAGGCGATTCCCTCATTCATATTTTCTGTAAACTAGTTTCGTTTACAGCTGTCCTACAAGCTGCCTACTCCCGCAACATAACCAGTCCACCCACTTTACTCTTAAACCCTTCTGCTAGAGCGTGCCTCCACACGCAGACAAGCTCAAGACAAGAGCACTGGCCCTGCTGCTTGATCAAGAGAGTAGTGTCCTGGTTTAAGAACTGTCTGAAAAGCTCTAACAAACTCCATAGTTTGTTACTCATAGCAAAAAAAAAATACCAACTTAAAAACGGTTTGGGTTTTTACACAGGCGATGCACATAAGGTTTAACAAATATCTACTGTAGGTGCTTCCATTTCTGTGCATCACAATTTATTCACATAAATATAATTCCATGCAGTCCCAATCCTGCTGACCAAATATCTCTTCCAAATATTTATTAAAAGCAAAAATACACATTTAACCCAAAAGCCAGAAAAAGCAACCATCATTTTAACGTTATCGTTCTGTTTTCTTTCTTTTTTTCAAAACAACACATACTAATGACTACAGTAAAATGCTCTTGGGATATTTAAAGTACTATTTTTCCCTTCCTTAGCTTTTAGAATGCTATGAACAGCTTTGGCTTCTTTACATTTCAGATGCTGTCTCTCAATATTGAGTGACCTGTCACCCATTTCAGCTAAGGCATGGGTACACATGGGGAAAATGCCATTTCATTATCTTAACTGCGACAAGCAAACAGGTCAGCAAATCTCACATGTAATTCTGATGAACTGTGAGCTAGGAAACCTGCCAAAGGCAGAACAGAGAGACACTACGCCTTTTACACTGACTACAAGAGAGCATCTTTAGGGTTGTCCTAATCCTAGACATGGAAGAAGCATCATCCTTTCCCAAATGACTGACAGAGTCACCATTTACAGCCAATAAAGATGTCAAAGACAAATGAATAACTCATCATTACCATTGTGCTGTATGTCCCCCTGTGTATCCAAAGAAAAGAGGAGTGCAGAACATGCTATTCTAAAACCTTAAATGTTTGATTGCTTCATCTGGGATGACATTTTTATCAAAAATGTTATGTAACCTGTTAATTACATGACAGGAACATAGGCCTTTGCCACAGGATTTATTATTTAGCAGTCTGCATATAATTTATTCTGCCAGCTTGGTTGAGGAAAAAATTGAAGTATTTTAATTTTAACCTAGTAATTATGAAAACGTAGTACTGTTATGACCTGGGTTCATAATGACCTGGGCCTTTCTTTCTATTCTTCTTATGTCAAGTTGATCACACGGTGATTACTGCGAAAGCTGAATTATAGCAAGCTCTGACAGTACATGCTGAGACTGGTAGTCATTACCTGGCACAGGTGTTTGTAGAAATTTTTATTTCAGTAAATGCGACAAAAGGAAATTGCTGTTTTGAAAGGAGAGGCGCAAAAGCTTGCATTCATCCTGCCTCTTATAAAATTCTGCTTTGACATAACCGTGAAGTACTTCTTAAGTGAAAGTTTTAATGTATTCTACATTCACCACCGCATGGATGGGAATATACATCTGCAATCGAGTGTGAAAGTCCTGTGCTAAGAGGAGGAGCTGGAGGCCGTTTCTGCCTTGAGGCCATCTTCTTCCATCTTGAGCCTGGCCGCCTGCGCAGCGGCGTCCGCCGCCTCCTTTTCCAGCCGCTGCTTTTCCGCGCCGAGCAGCTCCACGATCCCCGGCAGCCCCAGCTGGTGGCCGTCGTCAATCGGCCTGTTGTTGAACCGGTCGCGGTGCTGCCGCGGAACCAGGAAAGGAAGGAATAACAGCGCTTGAAATTTAGCACACCCGCTCCTGGCTAATTATAAAGAACCTTCTAATATTGTACAAGAATTGATACATTCAACAAATAAAGCTTAAGAGATCATATGTACTATGGTAAAAATTAAAAAGCTCAGAACCGAATCGGTTCCAATTTCATAGAGGTGTTTATGTGTCTTAAATCTCAAAGTATTGCAATATAGCAACGGCAGTGCCCTTGGGAAGTCTTTGACACCATCTTGGCTCAAAACCCAGGCCCTACGGTGTGGCCTTAAGCCAAGATGGCCGCCTGATACTTGAGAAGAACAGCAGAATTAGACACACCTGGCCTGATTGAGTCTTTAGCAAGGAGCGCAATTCCATGTGAGGGTAGCAAGGTGTCAGGATATGCTCACACCTTTGAGTAAACCCAGCTAAGAAGGGGAAGGAGAGAGAGTGAGAGCTCCAGCTGGGTGCGCTGGAGGACTGTGGGATTCAGTGGGCTTAAGGTAGGGTGATGAGGACACAGTGAAAGCCATATGAGGTGCATCACAGGTTCTAGACAGGTGGTCTGTGTGGATAACCTATTTGGCAGGTTCAATGGTATAGAATAGCGCTCTAGACTGGGGCAGACTAAGGGTGTTGGTACCTGAAGGAGTGGAGCATTGTCACACATAGGAAAGCTGGAGTGTAAATGGCTCAGAAGAACACACTGTTAGGGTGTGTGCAGGGAGGTGGAGTGAGGAAAGAGAGAAGGGGAAAGGGCAGCAAAGCTAGCAGCTAGTGGTTGTGGAGAAACAGGTCGAGCCTGGAGAAGAAAGAGATGTAAAGTGGGGTGTCTGAGTGAATACTCCAAGGACCAACATATCTGTCTGGTGACATCTATCAGTGACTAGTCTGAGCAGTGTCTTGTCAGGTGAAGATGTGTAGCATAAAGCACGTCTGGAGTGTGTCTGGTAGATGAGTGGATTGTCTACTGATGTAATGAGGAAGGAGGTGGAGGTGGAAGAAATACTGTAGGAGTTGTGCTTCTTGGAATAATTGTTTAAGAAAACCTGGCAGGACCTATAGAGGAGAGAGGGATAGCGTACAAGATCCAGAATTAGCTTTTTATTTTTGTGTATTAATACAGTATTAACTTATTTTAAGTTTTTAAGTTTTAAAGCTGCTTTGAGTCACTTATTACCAGTGGAATAGGTGTTTCTTTGTAGCCTTAAAAAATCTGCTTTCCATAGCACATACTTACCATTTTCTTCTACATTTAAGAGTAGCAGATTAATGAATAGCAGCTGTGTAATGAATTTTAAATGTGAACAGCATTTTAATTTGCTCACAATTCAAACAAATGCACAGATTAAAAGGCCAAGGTTTTATCATGGTATGTGCAGCAAAAATGTTAAACTTGGAAAAAATGCCATTGTGTTGTTCACATTAAAAATGACTGATGGGTTCATCTAGTACTGAACAATTTACAAAGTATTTCAAAACTTTTTCTACCTCTAGGTTTGACCCATTCCTAGTGCAGAAAATAACCATCTCGGGCTGGTTGGTGCAGACAGCCTAAAAGAGGAAAAACAGGGGCTGTTTGTTAGGGTTGTTGGGGGAACATAACACATCTAGCAATATTAAGATAGCATATGCTGATTTCTAACAGAAATGTCCATTTTAAAATTGTTATTCTGAAAGTGTGCAAAAAATCTTGAAGAAAAATAGAGAAATGCAGTGAGGGCATCACATACTGTAAAGCTCAATGAAAGGCAAGATAAATTATAGCAAGGAACACAATTAATCATAGAATCATATTGACCCTCCAGCATCAAATTGAACATGGTAGTGTAATTTATTACAGTGTACACTTTGTAAGCTCTGTGCAAGGGATCATATTTCTGAAATGCAAGTCATCCAAACCTGCCAACACAGAAATATGGAGAATTTAGTTATTAAATGTATACCTGTGTGAACTACATAAAACACATGGCTGCATTAATCCCTGTGACTTTTGAAAGTGAAAAACCTCAGGAGTCTCTTCAAGCAAACACCTCAAAGTCAAACTTACTGATCTGTTTCCAAGATTTTCTCAAGTTCATTTGTCCTTGTTGTGTCACTTTGCTGTTACTGCATTTACTCTTTTATATAACTGCTGACATACTCTTACATAAGCTATGTTCCTACAGGTAACCTGTAAGTTTAATCTTTGTAGTGAGAAGCACCATGGTAAAATATATGAAAAACTGGGGAAAGGACAGAATGACATTCCTAATGTTAACCAACCACATGAAGAGGAGTTCTCCCATCATAGTCTGCGTAGTTGAAGTGCACCCCTGCAGCCTTCCAAACCTCCATCTGCTTGGCATCACCCAGGTGTGCAAGGCTACAGAAGAAAACTCCATATAATCAGAAACCAGTTTTTAATAGACAGCCCCTTGAAGCATTTCTTGAAATTATTTGTTCAGTATATTGGGACTTAATGTGAGTTACTTGCTGACCATAAAAAAGGTTAGAACTGTAAGAATGGCTTCAGGTGATAAAAGTCTCTCTAAAATGCAACTCCTAATCTAATACTTATACACTATTCAACTCACCAGCACATTTCAGCCCCTAGCTCTGCAGGAGATGTATCTAAGTAGGCCCCCTCAGAAACCATATGTTCCACTACTTCTATACTCCTGCAAAAGGGGAAAAAACAGCTGTTCAGCACAGGTTTCACACATGACAAAATGCTATAAAAGTATAATGTAGAAAAATTAGCATTCCAGTACCCAGTCCTCCATAAATTACTTGATATGTTGAAAGTTTTTGTCTGGTTGGCAATGTACACTGCACTCTACCGGCCACAGTCCAGCAGGTCTTAGAACAGAACACCCTTAAACTGGCAATTTCTAAAGGCTCTGACCACTTGAGGTTTGATCAGTTTGGTATGATATCTGCTCTAAATAAATCAAGAATGGGCAGCTGTGCTACTGGACTTACAGGGTGCTGGTACCTTCATTTCAGATGATCTTAAAAACTACATAATTGAACAACTAACCTGCTTCATTGCTTAAACCAAACTATTCAGTTTTTCAGAAATTACTGCTTTAATAAGGATTGACTCATAAAACCAGCAGGTTTGTTGGCCACCCCTGCTCAAAACTTCACGTATAAACTGCACAGAAAGGTCTAGGTTTTCTACAGCAGCGCCTCAAGAACTAAGGAAGCATGAGACTTATTTGAATTTTGAAATCAATCTAAACCAACTAAGGTTCTTTAATGAGCACTATCTGAGCCTGGGGAAGAATATTTAATCTAACTGGAACAAAGGGTCTTACAGTTTAAAGCGGGCTACCATCTCTTTTCTCAGATTATCAGACCTAAAGGCAGTGATGTTTGTACACATTGCTGGAAGGAGGATAAAAGCTCTGCAGTTTTCTCCTTTACAAAGCTGAAATTTGTTTTCATTTTATGAGTTTCTTCATTTTGTGTGAATCAAAAACATGTTCTCATTTTTTATAAAGGGTGGTGGAGTTCTGCCCAGTGTGGTGTGCTCACTTGCAGCGAATTGCGTCTCTGAGTGCCGAGTCCTTTGAGTTGTCGGTGCTGTTAATGTTGGCGCCACTCTTTAACAGGAAGCGGACAGTCTCGATATCTCCTTCGCTAGCGGCCAAGTGGAGTGGTGTCCGTCTGTGACTGTCAACGATGGAGACATCAGCACCCTGACAAAACAAAGAAATAAAACCCTTAAAATGCACACAGAAGGTCCTCCTCACATTATATATTCATTAAATGTTGCCGTGACTGTTTTACTAAAATCTCCTTAAATGTTTCATTTTCTTATACATATCCCGACGCCCAGCTTGTGTTGAAATGTGCCACCGATGACAGAGGTTCCAGAGCACCCAAGATGCCCTTTCAAGGGGTGTGAGATGTGCCAGATTCTGTTTTTAGAAATTAAATCAGCAAAAATACAAATGACTTCAACGATTTGTGATCAGGGTGTGCAAGAACATAGTTTGGGGTGTGATTTTTATTACCTGCTGCAGGTGTGCTTCCAGAGCTACAATGTCCCCTTGCCTGGCAGAGGTGCACATCAACACAGGGAACAGTAACATCTGGATGACCTTCAGTTCCTGGGCAACCAATTAAAAATGGAAATGAAACACTTAGAAATGTACCCTGAAAGATGGTCACAGCTTAGTGCTGGCAGTTCTCATTTCTCCTCCCGTGGGATGTGTCCGAGGCAATCTCTTTGTTTTGTGTTAGGAGATTACGTTAATCAATAAAATGTTATCACACGCAAGGAGAACACCCTGGAAGGACTAGTTGTATTGTATTACTTAATATTTATTTATAGTACCGGATTTCACGTCTCAAAGACTTTGGAATTCGAAGACTCATTAAAACATTCAGATTGACGAAATTAAATTCGGCTCATTACCTAGAGATTAATAATGAGTGGCCACCGGACAAAGCCAACGACACAAACCCTACCGCAATGCAGGACAGAATTGAACATTTTAAGTATTTTACAGGCCACACGGTGAGTGGAAAAAAAAAAAACAGAAATCCCGGGCGATTTCTGCACATCGCACAAAACGTTCATTTGAAAACGTTCGTGGATAACCACGCTCCGCCGTGTTAAAATGATTATCCCCTTATACTCCTCATCGGTGTTTTAAAAAACGTCCTGGGTGAGCTCTTTTTTTCCCCGCAGAAGGGCGCCACCTTGGCTCTGTCGTTGATGCCGAGCCAGCCCGAGCGGATGGAGGACGCCACGGCGGCCCACAGCCGGCAGGTGGGCTCCGGGACCGCTCTCCTGGACTGCCGGGCGCCCATGGCGTCCTGATCCCAAGAAGGCAACGGGCGGGCTCCGAGCTTGGCCTCAGCTCTCGAATCGCGGCCTGTGTCCTCAGGGCCGCCTGCGCTTTCAGCTCATACTGGTTTTGAAATGCCCCGCTCCCGGGAAGGGACCAGTTTGGGGGGGGTAACCGGGGCAACGGCCGCCACCGCGCGAGCCGTGGGTGCAGGGCTGCTTTACTGCTCGGAAGCCGCCGTGATGAACCGGAGCCTTTTCCTCTAATAATAATAATAATAATAATAATAAGAAGAAGAAGAAGAATAAGGAACAAGTAATAGGTTTATTCCATGCTGAAAAAAAAGAAGAAAGAGAACACAACGTTTCGGCCGTGGAGCTTTCTTCAGGTGTGGCTCCAC